TAACATCCATCTAATACAACGGCCAAGAGTAACTAGCTGCAAGAGATAATAAGACTCTGATAATGGTCATCTTTGCTAATGGTGCAAAAGTTTCCAAGTAGTCAATACCATATGTCTGAGTAAATCCTTTTGCAACTAATCGGGCCTTATACCTTTCAATAGAACCATCAGCATTATGTTTCACAGTGAATACCCATCTACATCCAACCGGTTTCTTAACTTTAGGCTGATCAACTATCTCCCAAGTATTGTTTCTGATGAGGGCATCCATTTCTGCTTTTATTACATTTTTCCATTCTAGTACTTCCAATGCTTCCTATATTGTTCTGGGAATGGGAACATTGGCAATGGATGCGAGAAAAGACTTATAGGAGGGAGACAAATGATCGTAGGACAAAAACTGAGAAATGTTGTGAGCTGTAGATGTGGTGCAACGACGCTTGCCCTTACGAACTGCTATGGGAAGATCAAGATCATCTAATGAAGGTAAAGGCTCCATGGTGGGATGTCTTTCATCTGTAGTATCTGTGGTACATGGATCTGGCTCTATAGAAGGAACTGGGGCTACTATGGTACCGGGATTTGGATCTGCAAAGGAGATTGGGACTGGCCTGCACTGTTGATGTCCGAAATCAACCTGTCTCCATCGTCTGTGATAGACTCTCACATCCCTATATCTCTGACAGCCCTCCCCATTAACACCCCTCTTCACTTAATGGGATAGGTAAAAGAACTCCTAACGAGTTAACCCCATCCTTACTACTCTCCCCCTGAGGAGAAACCCTTGGATAATAGGGTACATCTTCAAAGAAAGTGACATCCATTGAGACAAATCTTTTCCTAGAAGTAAGTTCATAGCAACAATATCCCTTTTGAGTTTGTGCATAACCAAGGAAAATACATTTTGAGGCCTTAGGATCAAACTTGGAACAATGAGGGGCCAAGAATCTGAACAAAGCATATACAACCAAAGGTTTTAAGGGGAATGGTAAATAACTCTTTATCAGGATATAAGAGGGTAAATGGAGATTTCATGTCAAGAACCCGTGAAGGAATCCTATTGATGAGATATGCTACTGTAAGAATAACATCCCCCATAAACGTATAGGCACATTGGAGATAAACATAATGCTTCTGGCTACCTCCAATATGTGTCTATTCTTTCTCTCAGCAACCCCATTTTGGTGTTGTGTACGAGGACAAGTACTCTGATGGATAATCCCATGTTCAAGCAAATAGGAGGCTAATGGGTTTGCAAAGTATCCTTTCGCATTATCATATCTAAAAATTTTGATTTTGACCCTAAATTGGGTTAAAATCATCTAACGAAAGATCCAGGTTAATGTTGAAACCTCATCTCGAGAACGCATAAGATAAATCCACGAAAAACGAGTATAATCATCAACAAACAGTAGGAAATATCTGTACCCCCCCATGGCAGTGGTATGGTATAGTCCCCAAACATCAATATGCACAATTTCAAAGGGAATATTACTTCTATTATTACTTAATGAATAGGTTGTCCTGCAGTGTTTTGCAAGTTCACAACTCTCACATTGCAAACTAGACATCTGGATAGATTCAAATAAACTAGGAAACAAACTCTTCAAAGCCCGAAAAGATAAATGACCAATCCTATTATGCCAAAGCATAGCCTGATCAACAGATTGAGAAACACAGGACCTCTTAGTCTCACTATCTTCCCAATGAGGACTCCCTCCAAGCAGATAGACTCCATTTGCCTCACGGCCAGTCCCAATCACCTTCCTTGTCTCCAGATCCTGAAAAACACATCGATCCGGAAAAAAGGTTACTGAACAATTCTGGTTTTTTGTAATGCTACTAACTGAAAGCAAGTTAGTACTAAGCTTAGGAACATGCAAAACCGAAGATAAGGAAATAGCATTAGACAACTTGATGTCTCCCTTGCCAGAAATAGGAACGAGGGAGCCATCAGATGCTCTAGAATCTATTATCCATGAATGTTCTGTATTATCTATAACTGAGGCATGGTGAGCTGAGGCCCGATTACCTGAATGAGCAAAAGCTGAGGTAGGGGGTGCTGATGGTGTCTAAGGAGGTGGAGCTGAATTACCAACATCATTTTCCAGCTGAACTACAACAGCTCGGACAGCAGCTAGAGTATCTAGAGGATTCCCTCTTGTGCTAGATGAGGTTGTACTATCAGTGTTAACAGCCATATTTGCATTCCCCTTTTTGTTTCTGAATTTTGTTGAAACTAGATGTGGATGTAACTTCCAATAGGTCTCTTTAGTATGTTTAGGTTTCTTGCAATGCTCACATACTAGGTCCTTCTTAGCTTCCTTCTTCATGTCTCTTTCCTTATCACTCCCAGATTTGGGTTAACTGCTGCTAGAGCTGATTCAAAAGGTTGTTACTGTAGCATAACTTTTCTCCTAGTCTCTTTGTTGTGCACTAAGGAATAGGCCTATGACAGAGTTACATTGCCTCTTGTCAATAGTTGCTGCCTCACAATATCATATTTCGAATTTAGACCAGCCAAGAACTCACTCTATTAGTTTCAATCTGCTTTCTGTAAATCTGTGCATCCTTCTGACTTTCCCATTCAATTGATTCAAGGTGGTCAATTTCATGCCACAGGGATTTCAAGATTGAAAAATAAACAAAAACTTGTTTCTCACCTTGCTTGAGATTTTTAACCTCACATTTCAGCTCATAAGCCCTAGCAACATTACGGTGCTTACATTTTGGCTAATGTGTGGTCGCATGGAATTGCACAGCCATGTCATCACTAAATAGTTTTCCTGAATCCACTTAGCATAATTTGGATCCTCCTTATTTGGTTCATTCACATCTCCCAACAAATAGTTCAGTTTTCCTCTTCCCCCAATGGTCATCATGRCTGATTGGGCCCACTCTAAGTAGTTTGAACCATCAAACGTTACAGTTGTAATCTGGAAGGTGTTTTCAGTCATGCCAACTGAACCAGTCCCAAAAACACCCTCCCCTTGGTGCTTTAACTCCATTCTTGGTTAGGGGTTAAGCAAAAATCACCTTCTATTTACTGTAACAATAAGCCTACTGGGTCTAAAAAAACTAACGACAGTAGGTCTAGAAGAAGAAATCAGATTCAAAGAGAGAAAAAAATTTCCAATTCACTGCATCACTGTATCAATCAGCCTACTAAATCTGAGAACTAATAGCAGTTGGCCTGGGTACAGAACTCCAAAAACAAAGATCAAAGAACAGAAATCTGATAGCAGCCAAACTTAAAAACAAGTCTAATCTCTTGTCCAGACACAGTAACAGTCCTGGATTTCAGGGTTTTCTCTTAAAACCATATAAGAGAAAAAGAAAAAAAAAATTCTATATAGTTGTACCTCACAAATTAAGCTATCCTTGTTACTGCCCTCAAGAAGGAATAAGACCTTACCCAGTAATTTCTGAGAAAAAAAAAACTGATCTTGATTCAAAAAATTCTTGCGGAAATTCTGATCGCCAACTTCACTTTGCTCAAAACTGATCTTGRTTCTGATCAACCCAAGAAACTTCTGAAACAGAACTGATCTCGGAGAAAACTCTTCTTGATCGCCAACTTCAATCTTGATGAGAGAACCAAAAAAAATCTGATTGGCACCTCCAATCTTGACCAAAGACCTAACCTTGATAAATTAATTCTTCCCTGATTCTTCCTGATTACAAGGACCACTTTCCAATCCTTGGACAGTTGCTGAAGACTTCTTGTAATCTCTAAGAATCAGTCGAATGAAAAATCTCAGCCCTAAATAATTCTAAAGTGATCGGCTAAATTAATTCCACATGAGAAACCCTAGATCGAATGCTCTGATACCAAGTAGTCGCTCAAGATTGAACAAACACTTAAAAGGAGAAGAAAAAAGAAGAAAAGAAGAGGGAGAAAAGAAAAAGAGAGAGAGAGAGAGATTTTGATAAAAGAGAGTTGGGTTGATGTCTTTAAACAGCCGCCCCCCTCTTAAATTTATATACATAGTATCATACTTGTAAAAGGACTGAATTGCTTATATGGCAAGATAAGATAAAGCTGAAAAAAGACTAATCCTAATCTTATCCTAATCTTATAAAAGACTAGTCCTAATCTTATCATAAAGAACTAATCCTAATCATAACTTATTGCTGACATACGAACAGTGGAGACCACCTTAGTGGGGCCCACATTAGTGTTCTCTACAGAAAGTAGCCAAAGTTAGTTATTTATGTTATAAAGTTCTTATTGCTTAAGCACCGCCTAGGCGACTAGGCACACAATGTCGCCCAGAATCGCCTAGAGCCTTAAACGCCTTAAAAACTATGACCATGAGTCTTCTGATACCCATTCCTGATGTTATGGGTGGTACTCCAATATGTGGTTCTCGAAGTAATAAACACAACCAAGATGTAAATAAATATGGTTTTAAATATCATATACATGTAAGGTTTAAAAGCAGCAAATGAATTCCAGGTTTTAAGATGAACCCGGCCAGCTACAAAGATCACCTAATAAGTGATCCAGGTTTCATTCTTAGAAATCAAGGCCTTGAAACAACAAACTAGATGTATTTTGTTTTGATTTTTTTTAAAAAGGTAAGGTATTTTATTAAATCAAATAACAGTACAAAGGAGCCTAGGCCAGTAAAGGCTGCCTAGAGCCACCTCAGATTACAAAACAAAACAAAAACAAAAAACAAAAAACATGTTACACAAAACAAAACAAAAACAAAAAACTAAAGGAAAACTCAACCATGCACAACGTGCAAGTCGGGTATAAAGTGCACAACTTCTGGGAGGCCAATAAGTCCTAGGACCTCCCACACAATACAAGGATCAAACTATGTTCATACAGAATGGTAGAAACTTGATATATGAACCAAGACTAACATTAGTTACATGCTTGTCATCTTTTATATTACATGGCTAGAAAGTTGATATATATGCCAAAAATATAAGAAACGCAAGTATGATCATAGTAATATATATGCCTCAATAGAGTTTGTTATGCTTACAGCTTATCATCGGTGTGAAACAAATTGTACAACGTCAGCACATCATCTTTAAGAATCCAAACTTTGTTAGAAGTAATAATCAAGTCAACAATCCGCCCCTGATGGAATCATGAATTAGTACAATGGATACAGTGAAAATGAGCCCTCCTTAAATTATAACAAAACAACAAAAGATCAAAGAATGAGAAACTGTGTACCTCCTCAAACGGGATTGTTTTTATGAAAGGCTCCAATGACAATGTAATTTTGTCCCCAAGACAAAATTGAAGGCTACAAATAGAAATCATTGCCATTTGCACTTCCTTCACGTTTTTATAAAGAAAAAACCCAAGTATTACTACAAACCATGTAAGCACGATACAAGAAGAATTCAATTATTAATGGAGAATACAATCAAAATCCACTTTTGGCTCAACCATAGATGTTTATTCCATGAAACAATTGATGATACAAATGGATATCCCCCATTTTCATACACGTTAACTTTTTGAAATAATAAATACCACATATTCATTTGAATTTGAGAAGGGGGAATAATAAGTTTAAGGACAAACTATGAATATTGCTGAAAAGGAAGAAAACAGAAAAGAAACAAGCAGAGACCATCTATTTCAAATGGAAGGATTCAATTTTAACAGAAACACCCAACCAGATAAGAGGCACACCATAGTGTCATAGGCTAAAGTTGATAGATGGTTTTGTGACAGTGACAAGTCCCTCAATATCACAGCATTCAACAATTTGAGTGTTGTCAAGGTATACTAGCAAATTCCCTTCCAACCGATACTCGTAATTAGCAATGTATTAGACAGAAGGAGCTTCATTCAATACATAAGGGTAGTCATTCCATATCTAAGCAAAAAAGATTTTTATTTTGCATAGGTAGTTATGGCATCATCCATAAGCATAGGTGATCAGTTTTAAATGCATATCAAGAAGAAATGCATCATCAAAATTGTTGTGTTGCTGCTTTGAATAAAGGGAAATTTCACAGTAGTCTGTGGTGGAAGCGGAGTATCCCACCACTGACCACTACCAGTGGTGCGGGGAGGAGTATGGACCCATGTCAATATTGGACCCGACATGAATATGAACCTTGTCAGGGTTTTGGTTCCCATACATATCTTATTGTATCTTGCACAGCAAGTTATCTTGTATCCTATGAGGCAAGAAAAGAGAGAGCATGAGAGACTAATAAAAAGTCAATGCTAGGGTACTTTTGAGTGTATTTGGCAGAAGGGTTTCTTGGGGAGAAGCTGTGTAAACTGCAGCTACAATTTCTACTACTGTTTTACAGTGGATTTCTTCTCCTCTGACACCCGTGGACATAGGATATAAGCTGAACCACAAAAATCTCTGTGTGCTTTGAATACCCTGTTTTTATTCTTGCTTTCTTCCTAATTTTCTCTACTTTCCAATGGTATTCTCGGGTCCTGGTTTTGTTCATTGCACAACAAAAATAACTATCTAGACACACAAATTGATATCACATCCTGGTTTGCATCCCCCTGCATACTGGTATAATTGTTATTTTCTGTTATTTAATATATGTTGTTTATGTAGTATATTGTACGGTTTAGCAGTATACGAGCAGTTTTGCCCTTTTCACAATGTTTTATAATCACCCTAATATAAATAAAAAAGAGGAACACTAACCCACTCGTCTTTCTGACTTCAAACATTCTCTTATTGTCTCCTTTGTCTTTTACTCTCTTTTCTAGAAGAGGAACACTGACACATGCTCTTATTTATTTTTGTTTGCTCTATTTCACTCGTAGGGTTGACAAAAGAAGGCGGACCATCGGATCACAGCCACATTTCTTTCTTCTCTTCTTATTCTTTGTCCTTGGTTGTAAAACCAAGTGTGGTTTTTCTTTGTCAAAACTGAACAGTGGTTGGAGGATGTGAGCAGGTTCCTTTTCTTTTTTAAAAAGGTTTTGTTTTGAAAGGTTTGGTCACAGTTATTGTTTTACAAGAGCTGTGCACCATGCAGGTGGAGATCTGGAGATCATGGATTTTGCTTGTTTTATTTTGGAAAAAGGTAATGTAAATTTATTCATCATAACCGAAAAAAGGCTGCAATTCAGACCCAAGAAGGCAGTCTGAAAAGCAACCAAAATTACAACCTCCATCAGGAGCAAGACTGAAACAAAACAGACATACTAAGATCTTTGAATTCCCCAGATGTGGAAATCCAAGAAATCAACTTGTCCACAGCTCTCTGAATTACATGATCAACATCCTTATACCTATTACAAAAGATTCTACTATTCCTTTCAGCTTCCAGGAACACAAGTGATCCTTAACTGATCACAGCAAAACCCAGTTAGCACCCAGAGCTTTAAGAAAATGCAGCCAAATCTGAAGAGAAAATGGACAATGAAGAGGATTTTGCTTCTTTCCATCAGGTTTGTGTATAGAATTGTAGAACCTGTGCTTTTTCCTTCCTCCAAGCTGAGTTACAATGGTGGTAAGACTCCTAGCAACTGTCTTCTGGATCTCCTATAGCAGTACAGGCATTTTGTTCCTCACACTAGTAAGGTCTAGTCATGTTTGGGATAGGGAGATAAGTGGCTGAACAGAGATGGTAGACGAGAAGGGTTCTGATGATTTACACCCATCTTGGCCTTGGTAGTGTTAGTTTGAGTTGAATTCTTTTTATTGGAAGTACATGACTGTTAGCAAGTGAAGCAAAGAAGAACAATAGACAGTTGGTGGAAGTTGCCAAGGGTTTACAATAAAGAATTTTTGGGGTGATGTAATCCTTAAAATAGTAGGATACTAATCAACCATATGCTAAGCAGGATTCTCTAGTATATGGCTTCTCATCAGCTCCACTATCCAAAGTCTCCACTTTTTTCTATCCCTCTTCATGTCTTTGGGCAATTGAAGGATAAGAGATTAGCGAGTGATAACATCTCTCTCTCCATTAGATTTACAAAGTGTGCAACAGATTGGGGATACATAGAAAGGGTCTTCTTTTTTGTAGGGTGTCAAAAGTGTAAATATTCCCAGCAAAAGGCTCCTATTTTGGGTGGAAGGAATGGGCCTACACAAAACCTCCTTAAAAGGAAAAACAAGAGAGATAACTCTCAATGACTTCCTCTATCTATTTTACATCAGTAGGCGATCAAGACTACAATCAGCCTTGAATTCTAATGGATTTCAGATTAGAAAAGGTAGAAGAGAAGTAAGGAAAAGAAGAAAAGAGAGGAGAAGAACAGGAGAACACAGAGGTTTGAAAGGAGGGACAGATTCTCCCATTGATCTGCCACCGCCACTCTCTTAGTATTTATAGGTTATGTTCAGTACATAGAGGAAATGACAGAACTGCCCTTAATACTTACATGACAAATAAAGCAAATAACAAACTGAAATAAATAACAACTAAAATAACAAGCTGACCACCAACTAACACTAACATGACTGAAACAAATAATTAAACATACTGTCCTACGAACACAGTGGGGACCACAGCTGTGAGGCCCACATCAGCACTCTCCCTCAAGTTGGTAATAGATATTTATCATTCCCAACTTAGATAGGTCTGCCTCTAACTTCTTCCTTGGTACAGCCTTGGTTAGGATATCTGCGAGCTGCATATTGGATGTGATATACAGGAGACACACTTCCTGTGATGAGACCCTCTCTCGGACAAAATGTCGATCAACTTCGATATGATTAGTTCTGTCATGCTGCATCGGATTGTGAGCTATATTAATAGCCGCCTGATTATCACAATACAGCATCAAGGGCTTCACATAATCAATACCCAACTCTTCAAGTAGTGATCTCAGCCATAGGATTTCAGCCACTCCCTTATCCATTGACCTGTATTCAGCTTCGGCACTAGAGCGGGAAACAACACTTTGTTTCTTACTCCTCCAAGAGACAAGGTTACCCCCCACAAGGGCACAATATCCAGAGGTAGACCTCCTGTCATCAGCACTCCCAACCCAATCAACATCTGTATAGAGATCCACCTTCATGTGATTATCGTTCTTGAACAGTATACCCCTACTCGGGCATCTCTTCAAGTATGTTAATATTCTCTCTGCCGCAAGATGATGAGTAGTTCTAGGTAGACCTGTTCATGGGCCGGGCCGGGCCGGGCTCGGGCCAGGCTTTTACTGTGTATTAACAAATTCTTTTAAGGCCCGAGCCCGGCCCTCATAAAAAGCCCGAAGCCCGAGCCTGGGCCCGGGCCCGAAATTTAGCCTATATTATTATTATTATTATTATTAATGTTGAAGCAGCTGAATAAAGAGAGAGATAGATTGAAATTATAAAGAAAAGGATAAAATGTATATATATTAAATTATAAATATATATTTTAATAAA